CTTTGTTAATAAGCTGGAGGATCTAGTGAGATCTGAATTCAGTGTACATAACATAATAGTGAAGGGATTGCTAGAATCTTGGCAGCCTTTCTGATTGTACCAAATGATTTAAAGCAAAGGGAGGTTGGAGGTGTGTATTAGTCAGCTTGGGCAACCATAAGGAAATACCATAGTGAGGCTGACACAACAGAAGTACGTTTTCTCACAGCTCTGGAGGCTGGGAGTCTGAGATCAGGGTGCAGGGTGGTCCTGGATTGCAGATGGCCACCTTCCTGCTGTGTCCTCACATGGCAGAGAGAGAAAGGGGGAGGGAGAGGGAGAGAGCTAGAGAGACAGAGACCAAGCTCTCTGGGGTCTTTCCTACTAGGGGTACTAATCCCATCATGAGGGCTCCATCGTTATGACCTCTTCTGAGGCCCAGAGGCCCCACCTCACAGTGCCATCACACTGGGGGTTAGGGCTTCCATACATGAATTTGGGGGGTGGAGAGCATAGTTCAGTCCATAACACGGTGGAGTGATTTAAAATATTGAATGTGTCCCAAAAAACCCAGTAGAGAAACAACCATCATTAGAGTCTCCGGGACTATAGCATCTAGCCTTTTGGGGCCCAGTAATGGTTGACATCCTATGACAGTCTTCTCTGCTCTTCAGTACAGGGGACAAATCCTAAAGTGTGGCCAGAAGTGGCCAGCCACATTGTTGAGCCTGCCACTCCACTTTGATTGCTTCTGCCACGTTCTTGACCATGAAGATTTTCTCCCTACCATGGTCACACTTTGCTGACTGCCCCCACTTCTAATGGGGTGTCCGTGCTAAAAGGGTTATTGCTGATCAGAACCACAGCAGCCGTGGCACAGAATGTTCCCGCTCTTCCAAGAAGTAGCTGATCCCCAGGATCATGGGACCTGTTTTTTCCAAGGCAATGGTGGATACAGTTGGCCGCTTTTAAAATGGCATGACGCTCACCTTTATTATTTAATAGGGAGAAGGAAGGAAGCAAAAGAATGGTAAATAGGGAGAAAGACTCCTAGAGATTGTGATTCTCAGCGGGGAGAGAGAAGAAGACTATTTCATTGTTACAGATTCCCCCTTTTGGTGATATTTTGGTTATTTTAAGCCATTTTAGGAACTATTTTAGGAAAAAAAGAACCCAAAACACCATACTGTGTCTGACACAGAGACAGCGCTCAAGAAATGTTCATTGAGTGAAAGAATAAATGGAGGCA